CGGCCTCGTGTTCCCGAGCCAGGGAGAGAATTCGCCCAATCAAATCGGGCGTAGACGGATCACCCATCACATCCATTCCAGACCTGAAAAATTTGACCGTGAGTTCATCGCGGTGCGCGAACGCCCAGTCGATCTTCATGATCTTGCCGAGGAAGGCCTCGGTGTCGATCGGGACCTTGGCGACGCGCTGCATTCGCCTCGGCTGCTCGTCGATGTCCGAGTCCAAGTTGGGAATGTAAGACTCCAAAACGATCTGCACACTTCGCAGATGTCTGGTCCATCTGGCCGCAGCACTCCGCGCAGCATACTCACAAGAGGGCCGATACTGTCGATGGTGGGGTACTGCTCTGGGCTTCTTCCAGCGAGCATTGTGCTCTCTGGCTAGCCATCGTAGCCACGCCGGAGAGGTCCGACAGCGTCGTGTCGGTTAAGCAGCTCTGCCTCAATGCCCTGGATCGTCACATCCCAGAACCGTGCCATCTGATCTATTGTAGTGACATGCTGGATGTCATCGTGAAGCTTGGTCCAGTCTCTGGGGTACCGCCCAGCCTATGCGGCCATATCGTAGCTGTGTCCACGACCTCAACCCTGCCCGATCGAATCGCAAACCCCTTCAGACATGATGAAATAGTCAATCGTCGTACCTGGAGTACTCTGCACACATGTGGGCGCTGAGGGCGCCACCAGCACACCTCCGATAGAAGTAGCCCACGGCTGCATCAGAGCACGGTCCATGTTAAACTCTGTTGCAACTATCCATTCGTACCCGAGAGCACGCACTCGAAGCAAATATTGGGCCAACGTCGTCAGCAGTGCCATGTTTTTTCTGCCCCATGTCTTCACTAACGTGCAGGTGCGCCGACACCGCCACGAATCCGCCCTTGAACCATGCGTGAACCAGCGCCGATACAATCCTCTCTCCCAACAGCACACCTTTTGTGTCGGCAAGCAGAGGGCCCGTTGTGACCTGCACACGCTTGGGCGCAATCACAGCCACACCTCCACTTGTGCCTTGCCCGTTGCCAGTCTCATTGGCAGGGGCCCGCACTCCACGATAGCCTACCGCACTCATGCGGCCCTGAAACGATCCCAACTTAGCCGAGGTGGCATGATGCTCCTGCACACGCATGATAGGCAGCTCATCTCCCAGCACAGGAGCGTCAGCCTCGAAAATCTCAGCAAGAGGGTCGAACGAAGTAATGTTAGCTGTAGCCATGCGCGCCATGATGGCTTACGGATAGAGCAACCAACCAATCATACCAAGCATAGCGAACACGAGCTCAGGCCGCCTGGCAACGCTTCGCGGACGACACCAAGAGGGCTCCAGCCCGCTTGGCTGCTTCTCGCAATTCATGCTCATCCTCTTGGACCTGCTGCTCCACTAGCAGAGGAACTCGCGCAGCACCTCGGGGGAGTCGGCCTCAGGCGACGGGATAACCTGCTCCCAGTGCTGCCAGTGCTGGGCGCCCTTCGCCGACTCCTCCCTCTCAGCAGCTACAGCTTGGGCATCCTGGGCGGCCCCCTGCTGCTGCTGCTGCTGCTGCTGCTGCTGCTGCTGCTGCCGCTGCCGCGCCTCCTCGGCAGCGTGGCGCTGCTGGGCACTGTGGAGCTCCTCCTGCGCCTTCGCCTCAGCCAGGCACTCGTACAGCTTCTGCGCCAGTCCTGGACTGCCTCCGAAGCCCTGCAGCACCTCCCCGCACTTTTCGACAGTGAGGCCGCTGGCGATAAGCTGCTTGAGCCCCTCAGCACCGCCATCGCTAGCTTTTCTTAAGCCCTTGGCGCACCAGCCACCGGCTGGCACCCCTCGGCTTCCAACTCGGAGATCTCGTTGACTGGCCTGAAGCGCCTTGGCAGCGTCGTCCACCACCTTCTGCGCCTCGGCCACCACCTGCTTGAGCTCCTCGACCACCTCGGTCTGGCGATCTCGCTTTTTACCTAACAGCAGCGAAAACTGGTAGGTTTCTAGCAGGGTCAAAAGAGAGCATCATGACGCCCCAGGGGGGTCGGCGCGATCCGGGGGGGTGCCCGGGATTTGTTTTAAGCCAGCAGTTACACACTTCGCGGTCTTCGAGGTCCCAGAACTCCATTCCCGGGCCACATTCTGAATGCCCGGAGCCAACTGTAGGCCACTTCGTGGTCTTCGAGTTCCCAGAACTCCATTCCTAGGCATGATTTTGAATGCCCGGAGCCCACTGTAGGCCATTTCGTGTTCTTCGAGTTCCCAGAACTCCATTCCCGGGCCACATTTTGAATGCCCGGAGCCAACTGTAGGCCACTTCGTGGTCTTCGAGTTCCCAGAACTCCATTCCTGGGCATGATTTTGAATGCCCGGAGCCAACTGTAGGCCACTTCGTGTTCTTCGAGTTCCCAGAACTCCATTCCCGGGCCACATTTTGAATGCTGAGGCAGGCTGATGCTGAGGCTGAGGCAGGCTGAGGCTGAGGCAAGGAGGCCGAGGCTGAAGGCAGACTGAGGCTGAGGCTGAAGCAGGCTGAGGCTGAGGCTGAGGCAGGCTGAGGGCTGAGGCAGGCTGATGCTGAGGCAGGCTGAGGCTGAGGCTGAGGCTGAGGCTGAGGCTGAGGCTGAGGCCGAGGCTGAAGGCAGACTGAGGCTGAGGCTGAGGAGGCTGAGGCAGGCTGAGGCTGAGGAGGCAGAGGCTGAGGCTGAGGCTGAGGCTGAGGCAGGCTGAGGCTGAGGCAGGCTGAGGCTGAGGCCGAGGCTGAGGCAGACTGAGGCTGAGGCTGAAGCAGGCTGAGGCTGAGGCTGAGGCAGGCTGAGGCTGAGGCTGAGGCTGAGGCTGATGCTGAGGCAGGCTGAGGCTGAGGCTGAGGCTGATGCAGGCTGAGGCTGAGGCAGGCTGAGGCTGAGGCCGAGGCTGAAGGCAGACTGAGGCTGAGGCTGAAGCAGGCTGAGGCTGAGGCTGAGGCAGGCTGAGGCTGAGGCTGAGGCAGGCTGAGGCTGAGGCAGGCTGAGGCTGAGGCGAGGCTGAAGGCAGACTGAGGCTGAGGCTGAAGCAGGCTGAGGCTGAGGCTGAGGCAGGCTGAGGCTGAGTCTGAGGCAGGCTGATGCTGAGGCAGGCTGAGGCTGAGGCTGAGGCTGAGGCAGGCTGAGGCTGAGGCAGGCTGAGGCTGAGGCCGAGGCTGAAGGCAGACTGAGGCTGAGGCTGAAGCAGGCTGAGGCTGAGGCTGAGGCAGGCTGAGGCTGAGGCAGGCTGAGGCTGAGGCTGAGGCAGGCTGAGGCTGAGGCTGTGACTGCGACTGCCGTTGCCACTGCGACTGTCATCGCGAATGCGACTACGACTGCGAGAACAGCAGAATTCTACAACAGGATTCTCATCTGAATCTTAAGGGGAATGCTTCCAGATATGCTCCTACACATCGCTGTTAGGTTGCTTTGCCGGGATAATTAACGAATGTAGAATGCTGAAGCGACATATCTTTGAGCCGCGTGTCCAGAGATTTGGCACGAGTCATCTGACTTCTGAGCGTGGCCTGACGTGCTCGCAACTTCTCCCACAACTCATCGAACTCATGACTTTCCAAGTCAGCAACCTTATGTAGCTTCTCGGTGACGGCCCCAAGCTGCTTCCGTAGATCGGCATCCGAATCGCCCTTGCCCGCGTCGACGTCCATGGCGTCGCCCTCACGCTTGGGAGACATGTCCTTCTCCTGTAGCTCCGCCACCTCGTTTCGTAGCCGCTTGAGCTCTGCCGTGAGCTTGGGATCTGGCCTCGCGGCAGCCTTTGAGGAAGAGACCGAGGGGGCAACAGGCTGGAGGGAACAGCGGTCGAGGTCAGCCCTGTTCCACCACCGATCCCCAGTCTGATGCGACCAGCAATGCTTGCAAAACCATGGACTCGCCCACGCCTGCCTTCTCTGCTTGTGCCCAGACGGCGGCGCTCCGCCCTGAGACGCAAGAGATGGCACCATGGGCACTCCGCTTGTGAGAGTGAGAAAGGAATCGTGCAGTAAGCCTGGTGGGAACCCCGCGAGCTGTTCACAGAAAGAGGAAGCGCCTCCAGGCCAGGGCAGGCCACTGGGGAGACGCAGGAGCGGACGGGGCCGCAGACTCCCCCACGCCGAAATGTCAAGTCCTGGGCCTAAACACTACGGACTTGAGCCAAAATGGCTACGGACGAGACAAGCCAGGCGCCTGTGGGGAACAAGTCGGGGGCATCCCACCATCATGTCATCGAGCTTGTTACTACATGGATTGCTACATGACAGTCCACTTGCACATCTGCCTGCCATTGTTTGTTGTTTTTGTTTTCTCTTTCTCTCTCTCTCTCTGTTTCTCTTCCTCTCTCTCTCTCTCTGTATGTGTATCTAAATTCACGGTGGGGATCGTTTGCCTAGCGTGTCGCGGCGGCGGTTTTGGCTCACCACACTTCGGCAGGACACGCTATCCACGCGCCAGTCCCCAAGCATCAACGTCCCGAGCTTTACCCGCTTCCGCCCCGCGGAGCGGAGCGACTCGCCATCAGCTCGCGCGGCACAGCGTGTCGCCAGGGCCGTCGCCGCGACACGCTAAGCAGAAGCTCCAGACCGCGATACTGCCGCAAGACTTACCACGACAGCCGCGGGGACAGCCGCACGGGACAACCACGGGACAACCGCACGGGGCACACCTTGCCAGGACAACGGCACGGGACAACCGCGCGGAACAGCCGCGCGGGACAGCCGCACGGGACGACCGCGTGGCAACCGCAGAGCAGCCCCCGGACTACCTTGCGAGCCCCGCGCCAGGCATGGGGGAAGAACTTGACGCCACGTGCCACCTCCTCCTCCCCCTCCTCCTCTTCCTCTCCCTCCCTGGCCCTCCGGGCCATTCCTGGGCGTGCCCGCCGCTCGCTGTACGGGCGCAGACTTTGAGCGGGCCTCTGCCGGGGGAAGCAGCGAAGCACATCTGTGCTGTGGCTGTGGCTCAAGCCTTCCTGGGCAGTGGGCGCGCAAAGTTCGCGCCGGCGCCTGTTGCCGGCGATGGCGCCGTCGTTGCCGCAGGAGGCCAAGGAGGCCGCATGCTGAGCCAGCTGCTGGAGCGAGCCACCGGCGAGCACGACCCCGCCGAGGCTCTCCACAAGTTCGCCAACACGGTGAGCAGCGTGGAGCAGAAGAAGGCCCTAGGCCTTGGAGGGTTTCTCCGTAGGGCTTAGGCGACCCGTCCTCCTCCTCCTCCTCCTTCTCCTCCTCCTTCTCCTCCCTCCTCCCTCCTCCTCCTCCTCCTCCTCCTCTTCTTCCTCCTCGGGTCGCCTACGGCCCCGGGGGAAACCGTGCAATAGGCCTCCCAGTTGGGGTCAGAGTAAATGTGGTCAGTGGATCGCACCGCATCGCCGAGGCATCGGCGATGCGGCTCGATGCGCAGCCAGATTTTCTCCACGTCGACGTTGCCGATGCACCGCCGACTTCGCCGACGTATCGCCGAAGTATCGGTGATGCATCGACGATGCGGCGCGATCCCCCGACCCCATCTACTCCGATTGCATCTGGGAGGCTTCTAAAGGCGGTGTGGCGGCTCCGCTGTTTCCGGCAGCGCCCTAAGCGGCAGCCCCCCGCCAATCAGCAGGAGGAGAAGTCGCTGTCGAGCTTTTGCTCCAGCACGCGGTCGCTGGAACTACTCACGTACCAGAGGTCCCTTGCGCAAAGACCAGAGACCCATTCGAATGTGGTCAACTTCTACGCCGACTCAGGACTCGAAGAACAAACATGTGCATGCACATAAGCATTTGGAGGTCCGTGCGGATTTCTTGGGTCGGCGCTGGACCCCTCCTGGCGGCGCCTCAGGCGCCGCAACTGGCGCGCTCCGCGCGCAGGAGGGGGGGGTATCCAGCGCCGATCCGAAAATTCGCGCGGACTTCAGAACGTTTATGTTCATGGCGTTTCTTCTTCGTCTAAGGACGGGATGTGATGATGCCAAATGCGGTCCCCTCCTCGTCGAGCACCGCGACCCCTGTGCGAGCGGGAGCATCCGGCGAGAGGAGCTCGAGGTCGACCGTGCTGCCGTCACGATCGCTGCGCAGCATCGGCAGTCACAAGAGTCTTGGGCCCTCCGACGAGGATCTACAAAGAAACAACGGCATTTACATAGGCATTCGGGGGTCCGCGCAGGCTTCTTGGGTCGGCGCTGGGTCCCCCTCCCTGGCGCGCTGAGCGCGCCAGGGGCGGCGCTGGAGGCGCTGCTGGGGGGCCCAGCGCCCACCCAAGAAATCCGCGCGGAGCCTTGAAGGTTTAGGGTTGCAGTGGAGACCCATGCCAAGAAATACCCTGGTTGCCTCCAGGGTGCCCTGGGTTTCTTGGGTTTCGATGGCTTTGCGATGGAAAGCGTGACGTTCCCACACCAAAAATAAATGGACGTCCTGAGGTCTCAGGGCTGGGTTTCTTGTGGAATGTTTCTTGTGGTCGGACCCCTGCTGTATGCCTTTTGGTGCTTACTCCAGAGGAGCTCCAGAAGAGTAGCCTCCGCAGGTTCCACAGGGAGGGGCGCAGGCAAGAGCCGCTGCTGCAGGAGCTGAAGTCGCTGCAGGAGCAGGTGAAGAAGCAGATGCCCATGTGCCAGAACAGGAAGCAGCTCCTCTCCTGTTTGGGCGACAGGTTCCGCAAGTCCCTGTCCGCCGCGAGCAAGGAGTCCCAGTCCATTCAGCTCATGCAGGCCCAATACACTACCCCGCCGGCTTCCCCACCAGTGTCGGCGGTGCTGTCGCCGACGGCGGGCCAGCCAGATGGTATGTGCAATCAGCAGGCCTCCCCGCCGGGGTCGTCGGCGCTGGAGGCGTGGGATTCGGACAGGTACCTCCGAGATCTGGAGGAGCTGGAGTTGCTGGAGGAGCAGGACGAGGCGCTAGAGCAGGCGAGGCTTGCCCGCGCCAAGGCGCAAAGGCCAGCTGCAACCTTCCTCGCGGCTGTCAGGACCGAGGGCTTCGATGCTGAACAGCGGTTCTCCCTCCTGAAGCCAGGATCCAGAGCCAAAGCGCGGCATGGTGCCTCGTCGATCGCTGGAAGATATCCGATTGAAGGCAGCAGCAGCAGCAGCTCCATGCACAGTCCGCCGCCTGTGCCGCCTCCTCCCCGTACTGGCCAGGGCGGTCGAAAGCGTAGCATGGGCAAGGATTCAGTGCCGCGAGCTTTACCGCCAGTGCCGCGAGATCCACCAGCTAAGACTGCCAGCCACCCAGAGGCCAGTGGGTGCTCCAGCTCCCAGCCAAGACTCCGTGGCGAGATCCGGCGGGTGTTCTCTGGAGCGATCCTGGCAGGGAGAGTCTGCCCGTCCAAGCCAGCCCGACCTGCTGGCGAGGCAGGCGCGAAGCCCGACTTGGAGGCACGCTCGCTGGCGGCCTCGTGCCTGAGGTGATGGGCATGTTTTCCACTACCACCACCATAAGTTGGAGGGGGGAAGGAGGAGGACGAGGAGGAGGAGGAGGAGGACGAAGAGGAGGAGGAGGAAGAGGCGGAGGAGGAGGAGGAGGAGGAGGAGGAAGAGGAGGAGGAGGAGGTTGAGGAGGAGGTGGAGGACCCCCTCCCCCTCCAACTTCTGGTGGTGGTGGTGGAAAGCAGGCCCAATAACAGGCCCCGGGAGCGCAGCACCGTCGAGCTGTCGCTGGCCGAGCTGTCCATCCTGCCGATGGCGGTCGGCGGCCCTCCCCCTCCTCCTCCTCTCCTCCTCCTCCTGCTCCTCCTCCTCCTCCTCCTCCTCCTCCTCCTGCTCCTCCTCCTCCTCCTCCTCCTCCTCGGGTCGCCTACGGCCCCCAAGGAAACCGTGCATCCTCGCGATGCTTCATGTCTGTCGCAGCTTCGGAGCTCAGGGAGGGGTGGTGGGGCGAGGGGGGCGGCCTACGGAGCAGGCAGGGGGTGTCGGGTCCCGCGGGCCCTCACGTAGCTGTCCGGCTCGCAGGATGCCGCAGAAATATGGGGTCCGCAGAAGGATAGGGTCTGGGTCTCTCCCGTTGGCCCTCCTTCGGCGGCGTGAGACGCCGATGTGTCCAACCGAAGTTGTCACATGTGATTCGTGAGCCTTGTTTGTTTGGGCTGCTTCCTTGTTCCGATTCATATTTCTCTTCGCCACTGGGAGTATGAATTGTGTGCGTGCCTGCCAATCTCATCCTCGTGAGCGATTTCCCACATCGGATATCAGGATAGGGTGGTGGGGCGAGGGGGGCGGGCTTCGAAGACGGCAGGGGGCTGTCTGAGCGGAAGAGAAGCTACATAAGCTGGCGGTTCCTCTCTGGCGTGCCCATCACGCCAGGGGCGGCGCAGGAGGCGCCGCCAGGGGGTCAGCGCCCATCCAAGACGTCCGCGCGGCCATTCGACAGGTTTGTGCGCGTGCGTTGTTGTGTTCCTCCCTGTCTAGGAAGGCATCGGGGGCCTCTGAGACGCAATCTTTCACAGGTGCCGACAGGAGGAGGAGGAGGAGGAGGAGGAGGAGGAGGAGGAGGAGGCGGGGCCTGTCGGCTCCCACTCGCCCATTCGTCGCCAATGAAAGCCTTGGTGCCCCACCCTGCCCGAGGAGCGTGCGGTTCGGTGGTCGAGGGCCGATCGCGCTAATCTATATCAGCGATGCGTCGCCGATTCCAACTCAATGTTGCCCCGCCCTGAGCCAGTCCTTCCCATTTCGTCCATCCTCATCGGGATTCTGAGAAGGAGTCCAGGAATGCGGGAGGTTTTCTGAGAAGTTCCTTGCCTTCCTAGTTGCCCCCCCGCTGTCACCTGAGCAACGTAGAACAACTAGGTCGATCGTGCGGACATTGGCGCGTAAGCTGCCCGCGTAAGGTCACGCGTTAGCGCCCTCGTTCCACTGTGGCGTGCCGCGCTGACGGCCCGCATACGCCGCGGTGTAAGGTCGCTGCTCCATCTTGCACAAGACCCGCTTGCTGTCGTCATTCCTTTTTTCTCTTCTTAGCGGCGCCTAATCCACCCAACACCAGCCCCCCACCACTGTCCACTCTCGGGGCCAACATCCTGGCCAACTTTTCGAGCGGCACCCTCGCCGTGGCAACGGGGGGCGGTAGAGGAGGAGGAGGAGGAGGAGGAGGAGGAGGAGGAGGAGGAGGAGGAGGAGGAGGAGGAGGAGGAGGCGAGAGGAGGAGGAGGAGGAGGAGGCAGAGGAGGAGGTCGAGGAGGAGAGGAGGCAGAGGAGGAAGTCGAGGAGGAGGGAGGAGGAGGAGGAGGGGAGGGAGGGAGGAGGAGGAGGAGAGGAGGAGGAGGAGGAGGCAGAGGAGGAGGTGGATGAGGAGGAGAAGGAGGTAGCGGAGGAGGAGGAGGAGGATGAGGAGAAGAAAGAGGAGGAGCAGGAGGAGGAGGAGGAGGAGGAGGAGGAGGAGGCGGAGGACGAGAAGGAGCAGGCGGAGGAGGAGGAGAAGTAGGAGGAGGAGAAGGCGGAGGACGAGAAGGAGGAGGAGGAGGACGAGGAAGAGGAGGAGGAAGAGGAGGAATAGGAGGAGGAGGAGGAAGAAGAGGATGAGGAGGAGGGAGACGGAGGAGGATGAGGAGGAGGAGGAAAAGGAGGGGGGGAAGGCGGAAGAGGAGGCAGAGGAGCCATCGAGGCCAGCGGTGCATAGCCCACCACGACCCGGCCGACCTCCTGCACATAGCACATCCAAGGCGACCAGCCACTTTGGCTAAGAGACGCCGCATTTTTGGAATTCACCAACAAGAAGGAAGGCTACTACACGCACTTCACTGGAGCGAGTTCGATAACATCGAGGAGACGTTTCTCAACGACCTGCGTGAGGACGAGAGGGGCAGCTACGACACGAATATCGAAGTCCGACTCGACGAAGCAAGCATACGACAAACGCAACACGAACAACGACCAGCTCGACATAGCCAACGACTACGTCAGACACAGCCACAACGACCACCACAAATATCATTGCACAACCGATTCGCTGGTCTAGCAAACGCGACGACCGACACGGACGATTGTAACGACGACACACAAGACACCCACGTCCAATCAACATGCGCGTACGTTGAGGCTGTCTTGGCGAGGCAAGGGTCAAATTTCGAGACGGGCTCGAAGGGCGGGGGGGCAGCACGAGTATTGCCCGCGCTTGCCAGGGGGGATGGTGAGGGGCAGGGGGGTGGGAAGGACGGCCACTACCAGCGCCCCCGCGGTCCGCCCTACCTCGCCACCCCCACCATCCCCACGGCGGAGTTGGAGCTCACCCGAACGCCCAAGAGGCGGAGCAAAGGACAGCCGAGACATCCCCCACCGAAAGCAGAAGCAAGCACAAGGCCTGGAGTTCGCCCCCACCGAGGGCACCGTGACCCCTAGCCATTGCGGGACGAGGTGGGGCAGCCACGAACCCCATTTGAAATCTGTGCACGGATGCTCACATGTGCGCCCATAACCAACAGAACACGACCAGCAACAACCCAACCACACAGCGACCCAACGAGAAGCACGCCGACCAAGCAAGCACAAGGCCTGGGGTTCGCCCCCCCACCGAGGGCACTGTGACCCCTAGCCATTGCGGGACGAGGTGGGACAGCCACGAACCCAACTTGAAATCGGTGCATGGAGGCCTTACAAGTGCGCCCAACGCCCATCCACCACGACCAGCAGCAAACCAAATACCCACCGCAATGTTACCATTCCGACAGCCACGACCACGACCACGACCAGCAGCAACACGATCACCACAACCACGACCACAACCAGCAACACCACGACTTCCACCACAACCACGACCAGCAATGCAACCATTCCGACTCCCACGGCGACCAAACACCCACGACACAACCCGTACACCAGTTAGCACACCAAGTAGATGACAGCACCCACGGAACATCAACCAGACAGAGGATTACCATGCAACCGTTCAGGCACCAACAAGATCGACCACGACAGCAAGTCGGCGGCAGGCAGCACACGGACGCGCACACCCACCTGGGCGCCATTGAGGACAGAACTTGCAATTTCAACCTTGGCGACACGCGCGGCGCCAGAAGGAGGATACAGGCTACCGCCCCACCTTCCCTCAACTACCTGATAGACGGGGAAAACCTACATCCAGCTGCGCGATGCGCCGTCGCCAGCGCGCCCAACGGCAGCGGACGTCACGACGTCAAGCACGTGTTCACCGACGCGTCGTTCAACGCAAGGATCCCGAGTAGTTGCGCATGGACGTGCGCTGTACCTCAACAAGAAGCTGATCTTCAGTGCCGATTCAGAGGTGCCTTTCAGCGGCATCGTCGCGAATAGCCGTGCCATGGATACCAAGAACAACGAGATCACGAATATGACGGGCGAGATAATGGCGGTCGTTCAGGCACTCATGTGGCTCACCGGCAACGACGAACAGCAGCCTACCTACATGTGCAACGATTGAAAGGGGGTCGTAGACCTATGCGACCGTAAGGCTACTACCTCGGCGGACGCAGCTATCGACAGGTTCCTGCTCATCGTGTGCGATGCCGCTAAGCAGATAACGCCAGCCGTCATGCAGCGCGTGCCCAGCCACGAGGGGATGCCATGGAACGAGTTTGCGGACGGTCTATCCAAGCGAGCAAGATGCTTGGAGGAGAAGAGCGAATTGGTGGATCAGCTGCCGTTCAACTAGAAGGACATCGTGCGCGACAACAAGTACTACAAGCGGGAGGCGATGCTCGAAGACGATCACAAGAACCGACATGCATACCCACAACGAGAAGGAGATCGGCTAGCATTCGGAATGCCACCACGACGAGTTGCGCGCCGACATCTAATGACACCAGTTATCAGACAGACCTCCCCAACAGAAGCCCTGGTCAACGTCTTGACATTCACAGTGGAGAGCGAACGAGAGGCAGATGCACCACGGGCGCGAAAGCTCACCAAGCTAGCCAAGAAAGTACGCGACTGGAGGGGGGCAATACTGCGGAAGCAGTTCCAGAACCTGAACATGCACATCATTGGGGCCCAAGAGGCGCGACGCAAAAAGAGGGCAACGACCAGCAGCGGGCACTGCATTGTCAGCAGCAAGCACGACAACTGCAACGCAGGTTGCGAAATATGGATCAACACGGCTGTCCCTTCTGCGTCATCAAGAGGCGGACCGAAGTACTTTCAGCCCGAAGAAACCCACGTGCGTGTTTCACTACCACGAATCCTGGTCGTCAACGTCATCACAGATGCCGTCGGGTTGACTATATGCGCGGCAAATTCACCTCGCAGCAGGAGAAGCGAGACGGAAAGACAGAAGTTCTGGCGGGGAATTCAACGGGATGTTGCCCAATCACAAACCGAACATCATGATGACGGACGCTAACGGCAGGTTGGGCAGCATTTGTTCTTCGACGGTGGGAGGTGAGGGACTTGGGCAAGACGAAGACGACGACGGAGCCCGACTTCATGGGGCAGCGGTGACCGGCGGCTACAGCATCACGAATGCTATCGTCTCCAACGGCGGCAGCCACCATGCTTGGAAGGACGCGAACGGAAACCCGCATCGCATCGACTACATCCCCATGGGCTCCGGGCATAGCCCGACGGTCGCCGACGCCCGCGCGGCACTCGACACCGAGACGATGGAAAAGGACAAGGAGAAGACGACAACCTCCACGACGCCCACAGAAGACCGCGCACCAGTACAAGCTTCGCTCCGTTGGAAGACGTCACACAGCACAACAAGAGGCATCGTGCCCAAGATCGACCGCGTAGCCATGCAGGACGAAGCAGCGGTTCGAACATCCCGACAACACCTGGAGGCAACAATCGTACCACACTGGAACATGGACTACGACGAGCACATCTACGACTACACCATGACGGTCGTAGAGGCGGCACCAGCAGCGTTTCCGAAGGCAACGTCAAGCGCTACCGGGAGGACATCAGCGACGAGACACTGCGCGCGATACTTGACCGACGACGGCTTGACAAGATGACCAGGAATATCAACGCCAGCTCGAAGTTCCACCCAGCAGTGACAAAGCGAACCAACAAGGAATTTGCGGCCACCATCGAGAACCCGAGCGGGGGCATCCCGAAGGGGCACATCTCCAGCGCGCACACGATTGCAACCCAGTTGCTTACGACGGCAGACGAGGTCATCAACGCAGGCATCGTTGACAATTTCACGCAAACAGCAAAGAAGTGGCCCGAGGACACCAAGAAGCTCACCAACTTCATCGGCAATCGTGATTACGACCAGTTCCTCGAAAAGCAGGCAGAAGCCGCGGCTTCTTCCAGAACAGCCAGGGACCGCGACAACGAATGGACATGCACCAAGAAGTTGCTCATCTTCGGCGGCAGAAGAAGACGCAAGGCCAGGGTTTACCCGATGATGTACGCGAGCACAGGACAGCCGATGGGGGACGTCGCCAGGGAGGGCGAGGAGGCCACAACGCACTTCGGACTCAACGAGGCGGCTCAACTCGGAGATCGAGACGACGTCATCAGCGCCTGCAACAACGCCAAGGACCTGGCCACAAACACCATGCGCAGTCGCATCGACAACTTTGCCGGTATTGACGAGCTCACAGAGATTCCCTCGCCTGCACAGACACGACGCGCACGAGGGCCCGACTCGATCACATATGACTTTGCTAGGCTGGCGCCGCAGGAGATGGCTGCGCACGCACTCCGCCACCGCCGAAGCGGCGCTAGATCGCCGAAAAGGGCTCGCACATCAAAGGGCCATGGATGAACTACTTCTGGAAAGGCAAGGGCAACGAGGAGCAGCTCGACAATCAACGTTCTAGAACGCTTGCCGACACGGCCGTCGAGCATCACCACAGGTGCATCAGGCAGCGCATGGACCCCAACATCGCGTTCAGCAGGCAGACGGGCGGCAGGCAGCACTACAGCACAGACTTCAATCGCATGACCTCGAGATTGCGATTCGGCGCGGCAGGCAGGGCGGGGCGCGACTTGGCGCTGATCATGATTGACCTCAAGGCGGCCTTCCACAAGGTAATCAACGGCCTGATCTACAAGCTCGCGCAGGGCCAGGACGAGATCGACGACGTCATGGACAGCGTAGACATCCCTGCGGCATTGCATCCAGCCACCAGAAAGCTCATGCGCAACGGAAACATCATCGAGCGACGCGTAGACAACGAGCACATCGCGACGATGCTGGCAGAAGCCCACAGAGGCACTTGGTTCTACACCAAGTTGGAGGCGAGCTTTGCAAGGCCACGACTGGGATCAAGACCAGGAGTTCCAACCGCCGATTTCACTTTCAACGTGCCCATGTCAGAGGTCACTAAAGACTACCACCACGCAGCTTGCCTCGGCGAGGTCTACGTCGACACCCCGAGCAGCGGACACATCATGCAGCAAGACGACGAGCCGAAGGCGATAACCTCGACGTCATGCGTCGACGACGTCAAGGCAGCTGCAACGACCGAAGACGGCGAGAAGCTCGACAGTATCATCACCGCGATGTGGTCACATCTGACAAGAGCCACCCTCTCAAGGGGATTGCCCATCAACACGAAGAAGCCCAGCTACATGGCCTACGCCAACTCCAAGAAGGGCAAAAGACGATCACGACAATGCATCGCCAGCAGCGTCAGCTTCAACAGCCACGGGATGAAGTTGACCAACACCCGTTACACCAAACTGCTCGGGGCCATGTTCAACGACAGGAGGGGCGTGGCCCAGGAAGTCACTAGCAGGACAGCGTCTACCAGAGAAGCTACATGACCGATGCGAAGATCTGTCTTCCAACGGAAAGGTACCGCCAACACCGCCAATACCCAGTACCTCGAAGCCTTCCCTCTTTCCAAGATGTTCTACAACAGCGGCGCGTGGATATTGACGAAGGTTGGCGACCACAGCAAACTGGAATCAGCGTACTCGACGGCGGCAAGACAAGCGCTCGGGATATCGCACCACGACGTCAAGATGACAGCCATCACGAACGCTGACACCACCGACATTGCGGAAATACCGGCGCCCCAGATGAGGCCACGCACACAGCGGCTACGGCAACTTGGACGGCTCGTTGACGGATGCCCCCGAGAACTGCAAGCGCTTATCGACGACGACATCCAAAACGACGGCAAGTGGGCCCAGCAGATGACCTTGGACATACAACGCAAATCGCAATTCCCCGAGAACGACCACACAGCGAATAACAGAAAGGACGTTTGAAGCTGGATCAGGGCAGCACGCAGCGACCCGCGCGGCATGCAGAGCACGACCAGACTTGCATCCAAACGGGACTCAGCATGGCGTGCCGACGAGCACCAAAAGACCAAGTGGAGAGCGCGGGTACCAGATACATGCTACGGATCGATCCTACCAGATCCACTGCTATCACACCCAGACAACCACAAGGACAGCAAATTCATGTGCTACACATGTGGAGCGATCCTCGCCAGCCGAGCAGCACGCGCCAAGCGCGTTTACCGCCACCACAAGCCAGATGCTGACATCAACAAAGTTGCCATCGGCAGCATCTGCCAGATATGCTTACGAGACGTCGACACCGCTAACAGACTCATCAAGCACTTGATGGCCCCCCGAAGGTGCGGGGCATCCTGGGCCAATGCTTGCACGAACCCCACCGACAGCGAGATCAACGCCAACAAGAACGAAATCGAGCGGATTCGGAGGCTCAACAAGAACAACGGTTTGCCCGAGGACTACGCCGAACTACCAGTACAGCAGCTACAAGGACCTTCGATCGGACCCATCATCTACGAAGAGCTTGGGGTCAACACTATAGCACCAGCTACGATACCCGCCGATGCGGAGGAGACAAGCAACGAGCACCCAGCGGCAGACCATACGCACACACCCAACCACCAGCTCGACACCAGAGCGCAGGACCCCCGACCAAGCATCATCACCGCGGCGCCCAACACGATCGACAGCATCAACGGGGCTACCAGCAGCATCCAGCAGGCGGTAGACGAGGCCGGCACAAGTATGGAAGTTCCCAAGGTCAACTCCAGCACGGCTTCTCAAGAAAGGTCGAGCTGACGCGGCGGCACATCAAACGCGGAGAAGCAGCATTCTGCATCATCGACTACCACAATGACCACGACCAAAGCAGCCTCCGCGACAAGAACCCATCTTGGGGATTCCGACATCTGCGACCTGCGGCACGACAACGAGCACGATACCACACTTAGATATCATCAGGACAACCATCCTCTTGCTGTACGAATGCGCAACAGCCAGCGCCACCTGCGTATGCACGCGCATCCCAGCCAACATGCAGGACATTGCCGAGCACCGCTGCATAATCAGCAGAGATTTCGCCAAGCTGCACGACAACGGGGTTGTCATCCACAGTGGGAGCGACCATGGCGGCCACGTCGACCTGCAGCAACGCATCCAGCAGACAGTACGACGACACTGCGACAATTTCGACATCGCCAGGCCGTGGCACTACCACGAACACACGGCTACGAACAACCACGGCGATCTTGACACGGGCGACACGGACAACAACAACCCTACACTGATCGAACCGAGCAGCATTGCCGCTGGCATTGAGAATCGGCAACGGCTTCACAATCATGAAGGTAGTGACTAAAACCTAGCACGCGGAGCACCGCATCATCCAGAAGGCCCCCCTCGGCGGTGAGCGTGCCTACCCCTCGGCAAAAGGGCTGAGGGGCGACGGCGGCCGCCGCGGGGGGAAGAGGAGACGGGCTCCCTCTGACAAGGGGGCCCGCCCGGCGAGCCCGAGGCCATCGGAGGTCTTCGACTCCCCCCTCTCATTTTTGCGCCCAAGAGGTTTCCTCCCCTCCCCCCCTGGCCTGGCCTCGGTTTCGGCTTCGTTGGCTTCGCCCTCCCCATTCCTTTTGAGCCCTGGAGGCGCCCTCCCTCCCCCCTCTGGCCTGGGCGGGGTCCGTGCGCGCGCCCTGCGTGTTCGGCCTCGCATTGCGGGCTCGTTTCGTTCAACGTCGGCGCGATCGGTGCGTGCTCGGCACGCGTCCGCGCGCGCATGCTCGGTGCCCGCGCGCGGGGCGCGCTCGGGCGCCGCGGGGCTACGCGGAGACCCGCGAGCGGCCCGCAGCGGCAGGAGGAGGAGGAGGAGGAGGAGGGAGAGGAGGAGGAGGAGGAGGAGGAGGGATAATGAGGAGGAGGAGGAGGAGG